GTCGCGCGCTCGCGCGCGCGCGCGCGCGCGCGCGCGCGCGCGCGCGCGNGNGCGNGAGCGNGNGNGNGNGNGNGNGNNAGNAGAGAGAGAGAGAGTGCACAGCCTTGAAATGTTGCCCCTCGCTCGCGAGACAGCTCGGACGGGTGCGTGGCAGGGCCGAGGTCAGCAGAACCCCGCCTTCTGTGTGTGGATGTTTGCCACCCGCGGCTTCGCGTTCCTCACCGCCGCAAAGCCAGGTCGCATCGCCGAGCAGAGGTGTCAGGCCGGCAGACACGACGACGTACGCTCGGACAGGCTCGGGCTTCGAGATCGGAGACAAGGCGACGTGAGCAGCGGCAGCGCAGCCTCTAAGCCCTGGCCGCCTCGTCTCTACCCTGTTTTCTTGTTTGGCCAGGTAGAACAGCACCGAGGCCCGGGAATCCGTCGACGTGACGGTTCTTTGTTCTTTGCCGCATCGTCCCTCTCTTCTGTGGCCGACGGCGACGGGCCGACGTACGCGATGCACCGCCGCTTGAATCGATTCCCGCTCTGATTGACGGGATCGCCGACCTTTGACCTTGGCCGAGCACATCCCCACCGTCTGCGCAAGATACGGTCGGTGTTTGCTACAGTAGGCGATTGCTTGGGCAGATGGGAGCAGGCCAGCAGGCCAGGCAGGGAACGACGGGAGGAGAGCCTGCCCACCGCCCGGCGGTGGTGGTGGGGCCCGCCCGCCTCCAGACCACCGGCTGGCAAAACCCCTTCAGCCGTACAAGCGGTTGCTGCCAAGCCCGGCGGCGTAACCGTAAGGTCCGCGAGCTCGTCCAAAGTAACGTTGGTGCCAGCTTGCTTGTGAGCAGCACATACAACGCGTACGAGCATGCATGCATGCATGCTTGCTGCTGCTGTGCGTGCGTCGGTGTCGGGGCAGGCCATGCTAGGCTGGGCCAGGCAGGGGGCGATGCGATGGAGGCACGCAAGCCAGCGGACGCCACCAGAAGCTGTCGCCGCATCATCCTCTTGCCTGACAAAGATGCACGCACGCAGCTGCTCGGACTCTTCTCTGCGTCGACCGCCAGATGGGTGTCGAGCGCTCAAACTGCTGCTGCCTGTGGTGCAGAAAGCAGCTCTTGAGCCAAGCATGCTAAAGCCACAATGCATGGACGTGACGGCGGTCATCGCCACGGCCTCCCCGACGCCGCATGGATGGTACGGTAACGTCCAAGCCGGCCTGCCTGCGGATGTGGTCTTTGCCTTGCCCAGCTGGCTTGGTTGCTTGCGTTTTTCGCCTTGCCGGCCTGCTGCTTTGCCCGCCCGACGTGGCTCTTCCGACGACCGACCGACCGGAGTTTGCCGCCCCGCTGCCAAAAACGCATGCGCGCAGGCTCAGGCAGGCAACCTGCCCCCCAGAGGCGAGGGCGTCGATCTCGCCCCGGTAGGGTCCGGTCCCCTGCCTGCCTGCCTGCTTGCTTGGCTGCACGCTGCGCGCGCGCTTGCCCGGTGGTGCC